CAACTTCTTCTTCCTTCTCTTTCTCCTCCTATATTTTTATTTTATAGGAGGAGAAAGAGAAGGAAGAAGAAGTTGCCCTGGCCAGATCATATGTTTTAACAATTGAAATGATGTTTAAATAAAAAGGTCTTTACCTGGCGCCGAAAAACCAGTAACGATGGTGCCAGGCGGACCTCTTTGGGGAGTGAATTCCATAGGTTGGGCACCACCGCAGAGAAAACCCTCCTCTGGGTACTTACTCTCCTAATTTCTTTCATGGAGGGGTTTGCACCCAGATAAGATAGGATTGCAGCCTTTGGTCATTTTAACTTTCTCCTTTGAAAGAAACACTGCCTTTTAATTAACTTCTGACATTTCAATTTGGAGGGCTTCTGAAGAACTTAAACACCACCTTTGAGGAGATGGAGGTTGTCAGCAGAGCTGGTCTGGGGATGCTGAAGTTTGTTGATGCCGTGATGAGCTACTGCGACGTAGCGAAGGAGGTCAAGCCAAAGAGAGAAAAGGTAGGAAGAGGAATGTGGAAGTGGGCAGAATAAGAGCCACGTTAAATGTGACCTGGGAGTTGACACTGGTAGCTCCAGTCGCACCTCTATTTCAAAAGTGGGGCTTGAATCAGAGGTGGGGGCATTCTGGTGCTTTCCCTGTTTGAAGCCAAGGAGGCATCCAAGGTGGAAATGAGTCCTTTTTTCTAGAGGAACCAGTGATAACATGTTTGGATGTTGTAAAGGTTCCCATATCAAAAGGGGCCGATACAGCATGTTAAACAGCGGGCTCCGTAAACCCAGAGGGGTAAACAGAGGGGAGACAATCTTTCTTTCATGCAGGTGGCCAGACTGGAGCGGAATTTCTTCTTAAGTAAGCGTGAGCTGGAGAAGATCCAGGCTGAGCTGACAGCCATCCAGAATGAGCTGAAGGCTCTGGGAGATAAGTATGAGGCAGCAATACGGGAAAAGCAGCAGCTTCAGGAAGAAGCAGAGATTATGGAACGGCGGCTTATTGCTGCTGACAAACTCATCTCAGGCTTGGGATCAGAAAATATAAGGCAGGTGCATTACAATTAGCTTTGACATTCTTTGTGGAGGTTTTGTAAGGAAAAAGTGAGGGTTTAATACCGGGGGAGTTATCTCAACATCTTGGCAGATGCGGGTTTCCTAGGGCACGAGTCCGCCATGGTTTTCCTTCTGCAGATGTACTTTTCCTGCTAATAAGCTCCTCCCAGTGTCCAGCAGCTGCCATTTCCTCATCCAGGGTCAGGTGATGCTGACCTGCCATCCCTTAAAGCCTCACACTAGAGGCATTGACTTTTAAATTTTCCCCACTGGTGGCAATTGCTAGATTGTCTCCTAAGCAACAAAAGAATCACCCCCACCCACACACACACTTGCAAGTCACCAACCCCAAATGAAGAGCCTGCATTCATCAGTTGAACTTGAGTGGACCTGGAGTCCAGTTCCTGCAGTGATAGAAGATCCTGGATCCTTGGCATTCCCAGCATATTAAAAAAAGTGATCAAAAGCTGTACCCTCCTCAGCTCTAAAACCTTAACCAGGGATGTTCAGAATATTTGTCAGAACAATGGAGCATCTTGTGGCACCTCCAGTACTGGAATTTAGTTTGGCATAATCTTTACTACAGTTCTAGCCCTGCCACCTCCGCAGTAGCTGAGCTTTTCCGGGGCTCCTTTCTTCTTCCAAGATTGTATATTTTTGGCTGTCCCTTCCCTGGACTAGCTACCCAAGCGTGGAGGGCCCTGATCCTTCCCTTCTAGATGATGTTTCTAGAAGATGGTTTCTGTGAGTCGCTTAAAACTGATGTGTTGGAGCAGCTGCATTTTCACTCATTTTTGGTCAGGTGGATGAATGATTTGGAGGAATTAAAGAGACGGCAAGTGAAGCTGCTAGGAGACTGTCTGCTGTGTGCAGCTTTCCTGAGCTACGAGGGTGCCTTCACCTGGGAGTTTCGGGATGAAATGCTGAAGGAAGTGTGGCGGTCTGATATTCAGACTCGGGAGATTCCTCTGAGCACGCCTTTCCGATTGGAAAACCTCCTGACAGATGACGTTGAGATTAGCAGGTAGGCTGGAACGGTGACCCCTTAAAGCCCAAGAGCCTTCGTCCAGCATTGTGTGTGGCTTTTCAAGGCCCAGGCAGTGATGTACTTCATCACTTCGTCTGGTGGCAATTCTGGCACTCTGGCGCCCAGCCTCCAGCTCACTTTCACAGCGCCCCATCCGCTTGCACCTCAACACAAACATACATATGCACACATTTTTGCACGCACTTATTTTGTTGGCCGATGGTCTGCCCTTGGACTTACGAGCCTCTCAAAGAAAGGTTCCCCTTTGTTTCAGTTCAGAAACCCCCCTCTCAACTTCTTTCGTTCCAGGTGGGGGTCTCAAGGTCTGCCTCCAGACGAACTCTCAGTTCAAAATGGCATCCTCACCACACGAGCCAGTCGCTTCCCCTTATGCATTGACCCACAGCAACAAGCCTTGAACTGGATTAAGAGGAAAGAAGAAAAAAATAACCTGAGGGTGAGGGGAATTAAAGAGTCTGTGTGTGTGTGTGGGGGGGGGGGGGGGTTCATGTATAATGCATCATTTTAACCAGAATATAGGAAGTGGGCCAGAGTAAAGCTGATCTGTACTTGAGGAGGGAAAAGGTCAATCCGTTTATGGCTAAGAAAAGGCTTGGAACCCAGAACGGGTTCTGGGTAAACCCAGGAACCCAGTAGGAGTTCAAGAATAGGGAGTTTGGGGTTTCTTAGATATTTCTTTCTTCGATATAAAGCAGCCTTGGATGAAAGAAAGAAAGCAGACTGTCTTTCTGGAGCATTTCATCCCTTCCTGCACGCTCCTTGTTATTTTCTGCCCCAGCAGCAAAGCTTTCTGACCATAGGGACATCCCTTCCCTTACACAGTTGTTTCCTTGAACTTCGTGCTACTAAGTTGAGGCCTCTTCTGTGCCAGAGCACAGCAAAGGGTAAGGGAGAGCTGCTTCCGTACTCCTCCAATAAATTTGCAGAGCAGGTTGAAGGGCTGGTTTCTCAAGAAACCAGTGCACTTGGGGACCAGAGGACAGCAAAAGGTGACCCGTGTTTTACTTCAGATGGTTGGCCTACCATTAATTTATCTGTCAAGTAATGAATAGAAAGGGAAAGGCGCTGTTGTAGCAACTTAGCTTTGAGAGAACTGTGAGCTTTGCTTGGATTAAAACACTCGCTTTGGTAGTGCTGAAGTAAGGCTTGATCGAGGAAGACCTGCATTTATCAATACTGTCAAGCATGTCTATATATACATATCTTATTCTTTCCTAGATGGCCTCTTTCAATGATCCTGATTTCCTTAAGCAACTTGAAATGGCTATAAAATATGGGAACCCTTTCTTGTTCCATGACGTCGATGAATACATTGACCCTGTGATTGATAATGTCTTGGAAAAGAACATCAAGAGTGCCCAGGGCCGAACCTTCATCATTCTTGGGGACAAGGAGGTTGACTATGACACCAATTTCAAATTGTACTTGAACACCAAACTGGCCAATCCTAAATACTCACCATCAGTGTTTGGCAAAGCCATGGTAATCAACTACACAGGTACCTGATAAGCAGTACATTTTTTTTTCCTTTGTAATGAATAATGAATTATCTTCAGTTGTATTCCTTCAGCAAAGAACTGTGATCTTTGCCAAACTGCAGCTCATGGGCTCTATCTGGCAAATAGTCCTCACAGTAGAGTTTGGTGAACTTAGAGCCCATTTTGTTTGCCAAAATTAAATAGATCCATTTCTCCACACTCAAAAGCCAGGACTCAGTTGAGAATACTGTTACAAGCCATCTGGATGATGGTGATGATGATATTTATATTCTGCCTTTTTTCCTCTTGCAAGGAACTCAAGGTGGTTACAGGGTTCTCTCTGTTTTATCCTCTCAGCAGTCCTGTGAGGTATGTTAGACCGAGAGTCTCAAAGCCATCCATTCATGTGCAAGCATGGGTAACATCCCGGTGCTCCCGAGTCTGAGATCAGCACTACACAACACTAGCTGTGGAAGAAATAACAAGCGGCTCTTGCGAGTTTTGCCTCTGTTTGCTTGCCACCTTAGAGACCCTTTTTTGGAAAGCCACGACAGAAGATTTGTATCCTATGTGCATTCCATAGAGCTCCCTGTGGCACGTCCAGGGTTCCCCCTTGCTCTTGCCTCCAGGCCCTGACCAGGCCCAGTCCTGTTTCAATGAGGTTGCTGCATCATGTATGTTCATCCCGTGTCCTAGAATTGCTCGCATCGTTAAGTCACGCTTAATTGTGACAGTGTAGTGCAGATATTATCCCTTGTCTTTCTCTGTCAGATCATTTTTGAGTCAATGCACAATGCTGGTTCCTGGAGCTTTACGGAAGTTGATGGAAAAATGGCCCTTTGCCTGCTTTGACTCAGTTTCACTGAATCCAACCAATGTGCTAACGATGCAACAAGCAGGTGCATGACTTACTAAATGGTGCTCAAAGTATCCCAGTTCTTCCTAAGAAAGATCCAGCTGCCCTCACATAGTAGAGTGAAGATCATGTTGGGGGGGGGGGGAAATGCCCTTGTTGAACTCTCGAACCCCACCCTTCTAGTTACGTTGAAAGGTTTGGAGGACCAGCTGCTCAGTGTGATTGTTGGATTTGAAAGACATGAACTGGAGGAACAGAGAGAACATCTCATCCAGGAAACAAGTGAAAACAAAAATCTGCTGAAGGACCTGGAAGATTCTCTCCTTCGTGAACTTGCAACATCCACTGGGAACATGCTGGACAATGTAGACTTGGTACATACTCTGGAGGAAACCAAGTCCAAAGCTACAGAGGTATGAGCTATACACCGAGTTCTGCAATTTTCTGCCAGATAGCTGCCTTCACTCCTTTACAGTCCGATCGACTCTAAGGGCTAAGTTGCACCCTTTTATGAAAAAATCTACATTTTAATTCCTTAATGGAACCAGTTATTCCATATTTCTGTATTCCTAATTAACTTTGTACTGCCATGCCCGTAAATAGAGGTCTGTAGCCACTGGCAGAGCATGGATTTTGCGTATAGAGGGTCTCCTAGTCAATCCCTGGCATCTCCAGTGCAAGGATCTCCAGTAGTGGGGCTGGAAAAGACCGATGATCTGAGCCTGAAGGGCCACTCCTGGCTGGACAGTTGTGGGCTAGATTAGGAGTGGTGAACCTTTTTTAGCCAAAGGTCCAAATTCACTTTTAGAGAAGCTCTCAAGAGTTGCCATCCAGTGGTATGTGTGCCAAAAATACCAGCTTGTGTAGCTTAAATCTCCTCTTACAAGCCACGAAGCATTTCAGCCTTTTAGAAGGCTGGGGAGGGGGGGAATTGCACCAATTCAAGGAAACTAGGAAATGATTGGTGGTTGGAGAAAAGGATTTGGGGCCAGGGGAAAGGTTTGTGGCCCTCCTAGGGAACCCCAAAGTGCTGAATTTGGACTCTGGAAAGGGTAGACTGGGAACCTGGGCCTGAGGTTCCCCACACATGGGCCAGACAAACCAGCAGAATGGCGCTGCGTAACACAGATTATCAGAGGTAATCCAGAGATGCATATCATTCTGAATGAATTTAGGGCAAATTTTTACTTCCTTTTCACCTATTTGAAAATAAATGTCCATTCAGAAAAACAGGATCTTAATCCTGTAGCGGCAGCATAATCAGCACCAAAGTCCCCTCCTGCCACCTCCAGTATGTATATTTGGGGTATTAAGATGAAGAACGGCAGCAGACTCCTCCTCTCAATATTGAATCCATTCCCCCATAGCATTATATTCACTGCTGCAGGCTTCATCTTGAATTAAAATGATTACTTGTCCGGTACAACCAGGTGACAGAGAAACTCAAGCTGGCTGAGAAAACCGCAGTTGACATTGACAGACTGCGAGATGGCTACCGCCCAGCTGCCAAGAGAGGCGCCATTTTGTTCTTCGTGCTGTCTGAGATGGCCCTGGTCAATACCATGTATCAATACTCCTTGGCTGCCTTCTTGGATGTCTTTGGCTTCTCCCTTCGGAAGTCCTTGCCCGATACCATTCTTGCAAAGAGGTTGCGAAACATCATGGACACGTTAACATTCAATGTATACAATTACGGCTGCACAGGTTGGTATGACTGAAAAGCTACCAGAACTCCTAAGGAGAACATCTTCAGAGCAGTGTGCGAAGCTTGTCCATTGATTCTTCCCGCGGGCCTCTCTGCAGTGGTGCATGTTCCTTGGCTTTATGGCTTCGGTGTGTTGCTGTTTGAACGATAAGGCCTGGGGAGGTGCACTGTATGTGCTCCTGTCTTAGCTCACAGGAGAGCTGGCACCTCCACCAAGAGCTTTCCAAATCCTCATGAATGCTGGGAATGGCCAGACACACAGGGCGGACCGAACTGGGAAGGTGGCACCTGTAGCTGGAGTTAGAGGGTCGGGGGCTTGAGCAAGAGTTGTCGAAGTGAATGCTGTGCTGTGTGTGCAAGGCGCCCCTGCATGGGCACCAGGACACGTGTCCCACCAATCAGGGCTCATTAACCAGAACAGCCAGTGCCTTGGCCTTTTCAACTGGGAGCGTCCTGAAGAGGCTGGCAAAGCTGCTCCTTCAGAAAGAATGGGGTGGCTCTCTGGGCGTAAGCCAGAGGCTTTCCCTGTATTGGCTCAGAGCATGTTCTGTGACTTACCCCGGACTCCTCATTGCGGGTGTACCTGGCAGGGAGTGATGCCATCCGTGTTCAGGGAAATCCCTCCATCAGTACTGATTTGTTGATCGAGGCCTTCCAACCAGCCTCCAGGAGCCCCATCAGGAGCCCTAGAATTCACAACGCTGTGCCTGACTCTTCAGTTTTTGAATCAGAATTTCAGTTTGCGCCGACACTGACTGCCTCTTGGTGGTCTGTTGGCATCAAGTCGCAACAGTTCTTGTGGTTTGCGTTCACAGGCCTGTTTGAAAAACACAAGTTACTCTTCTCCTTTACCATGACGATCAAGATCGAGCAGGCTGATCACAGAGTCCCTCAGGATGAACTGGATTTCTTTTTGAAAGGTAAATGAATGCTCTCCTGAACTCCAATCAGCTCATGCCAGATATAAAAGCTAGCAGCGTCTTTTAGTTATCCAAGGCCTTCCATTAATGCTTTTATTTATTTATTGGTTTGGCCTTCTAGTCCTCGTTTTCCTGCAGAATGGGATGCTGCACTTCATGAAAAAAACATTTTAATGTATGCTATGCTTTGTAAAAGTAGATCTTATTACACAGGTGAAAGAAAAGAGGAAGCTGCTGTTTCATGAGCTTTTTTGTAGTACATTGTATGAGTTCCATCATTGAAAAGCCATTTTGAGTAAGTGTACCTAAAGTCAGTCCATTAAAATTGCTGTATCAAGCTATCTGAGGATCTTTGGGGTGAAAGAAAGATGGATAATTCCTTCCTTCAGCAAATTAACAAAAGCTATTTGTTGCTCTAAGAAAATTTCTAAAATATAAATGCATAGGTTATGCATAGATTGTGGTAACCATATTTCCTGTTCTGTCTTTAGGAAATCTTTCTTTGGAGAAGAGTACCCGAAAGAAGCCATGTTTCTGGCTTTCTGATCAAGGCTGGGAGGATGTCATCCGTGTTGCTGAACTGTTTCCCGAACAATTTGGTTCTCTTCCAGATGATGTGGAGGAAAATCCAACTGAATGGAAAGCTGTGAGTAGGATCCACTATTCTGAGTGTTGCGAATTAGAGCAGGCAGTGGCTGGCTTTTCAGGAGACGCCTTTAGAAGGTCTCCTCCTTTAGAAGCATTGTCAGAGTCCATTCTGCACTGACTTGACATCCTGTACTTTTTCTACAGTGGTATGATCTTGATGCCCTGGAACAATCCCCATTTCCCATGCACTACCGGAAGAGCCTCACCAATTTCCAAAAGCTGCTGCTCTTGCGTTGCTTCCGGGTTGACCGTGTCTATCGTGCTGTGACTGACTATGTTACCCTCACAATGGGTGTGAAGTAAGTCACGTTCTTCTTTTTTTTAAAAAAGGGGCCCTTTTTTTTTTTTTTTTTTTTTTGAGAAGAGTCTGAGCTCTGTTTTATCACGACGATGAGTTTAAGCTTCCCCTGCCTGGTAATCCACTCCATGCTGTTCCCTTCCCCTCTTCCCAGATATGTCCAGCCACCAGTGATCAGCTTTGATGCCATCTTTGAGCAGAGCACCCCAAACTCACCAATAGTTTTCATTCTAAGTCCTGGCTCTGATCCTGCAAGTGACCTTATGAAACTGGCCGATCGGTCGGGCTTCGGAGGGAATCGGCTCAAATTCCTGGCCATGGGACAGGGGCAGGAAAAGGTAAGTGCAGGACCATTCAGCCACTCTGAGTGCACGAAGGCAAGTTTTCTGTAGAAGGCTGGGAGTGCTTTCCTTTCATACTTACAAGCTCATTGTGGTGCTTCCAGCTGGATGCCCAAGTCCTAATTTGAAAAGCAGGAAGCGAATGCATGCATCTGCCGGAAAGGGAGTCGCACACATTTCTTTCAAGTGGATCGAGCTGTTTGTATCAACCGTGGTGTTTGTGCGTGAACACAGTTGTGAGCACTCATAATGGTCAGTCGGATGTGCTTCATGTTCTGAGCCCTGCACTCTTTTCCAAAGGGGCTCGCTCTGCGGGACCGTGTTCCTCGTTCCTTTGCTCATGGAGTCCTGGATCAGACTAATAGCTTCATGAGCTTTCTGTGTCTCTCTGCATTTTTCCAGGTTGCACTGCAGCTGCTGGAGAATGCCGTGGCCCGTGGACAGTGGCTAATGCTGCAGAACTGCCACCTGCTGGTGAAGTGGCTGGTTGACCTGGAGAAGGCACTAGAGAGGGTCACTAAGCCGCACCCGGATTTCCGCTTGTGGCTGACAACGGACCCCATCAAGGGCTTTCCCATTGGTATACTCCAGAAATCTTTAAAGGTACAAAACCATGGCAGGACACCAAGAAAGGAGATTGATGACCTTGGAGCTGGATGAAGGCCTGGCCTGAATTTACCTCATGTACCCCTAAGTCAAATACTGAGTTAGAGTAAGAAACTCCAACTCCTTCCTTATGTTTGGGTGCACGGCTGTTATTTGTGGCGGAGAGCATAGGAGCTTGGGGATCCAACACTCTGAAATGTGTTGGGATCTTTCCTGCCGTTTTCAGTATCTGAAAATAATCAGCTGATGTCTATACTGAGTGGAGCCTCCTTGTCAGTGGAGCAGACAGTCTGACAAGATGAAGCACTGAACTGCTTCAGAAGTCTGAGACATTTGTCACAAGCAAGATGAGCTGGTTATTTTTACATCACAAGCGGCAGGAACTCTGCTAATGATCTTCCATCAGCAGCTTTGTTTCTCCTCCTTTTAATTCCGCATGTCCGCATAAATCATAGCACTGAACAGATGTGCAAGCAGCAGAGTCACACTTAAGTCATTTTTACAAGGCCAGATCTTCATCTGGAGTGGCAGTCTGCAAAGCACTTGCTTCCACATGATCCTGGGGAAGCCACAGGGTCTTCTGCAGACTCGCCTGCAGAAAACTCTCTACCCTAGTGGGAGAGCACATGTTTTGCCTGCAGAGCTGGCACCTCCAGTTCAAAGGATGTGAAGTAGCAGGCCTTGGGAAGTTGTGGGATCTTGGAGAAGAGGGTGCATGTTATGGGAGTTGTAGTCCAAGCCACGCAGAAGGCACACAGTTGTCTGCCATTGCCCTGGTGAGTTGGACTGGACCGTACTGGAATAGATGGATCATTGTTTTAATTCTGTGTAAGAGCGCGGCCCAATTTAGATAGTAAATATACTCGTAATCATAGAGCTAGCAAGAGAGACTGGTAGAGGTCAAGAGATCGGTGCTAAAGAAAGGAAAACAGTATTGGCCAACCATACAGAAACTAACTTAATTTTGGAAAAGAGGTATTAATAAGGGAGGCTTATTTTGGTAAAACTTATAAATTTTTGGTAAGGAGTGGAGAAGAGAGTCCTAAAGCACACGCTGCAAGGGAAGCGTCACCTCCGTGAGCGAATCCAGTCACGGATGGTTGTCATTTTCTCCATTGCTAGGTTGTCACAGAGCCGCCCAATGGGTTGAAACTGAACATGCGAGCCACCTACTTCAAAATCTCTCATGATTCTCTTGACCAGTGCCCGCACCCTGCTTTCAAGGCCTTGGTCTATGTCTTAGCATTTTTCCATGCCGTGGTTCAGGAGAGGAGGAAGTTTGGGAAGATCGGCTGGAACGTGCCTTATGATTTTAATGAATCCGATTTCCAGGTAGGAAGCTAACTCATATCCTCCAAGAATATGCAACTCAGCATCTCCCATGGCATAAAGGTACCCATGGGTTGGGGAAAACACACACAAATTCAGGCTGCAGGCCTATACACATGTGATCCCACTGAACCCAAGCATCTAACCAGTCTTTCCTTGCGGTGCACTACCTGATGCGTATGACTCATTGCCCCATTACCAGCTCAACTGGCCCCTGAGGGCCACCGTTCTGTGAGATGCGGGGCTGGATGGCCGCCCTGGGGGAACGGTGAACTGGCTGGGCTGTCTCACCTCTTCCTCTGAAGAAGTCGGGGGGAGTGGCTGCGAGCTAAACTTCGGATTTCCCATTTTATTTGAGGAACACAATACATAACCCAAGCAAAGGCCACAGTGACTAACCTTTCCTCCCGCTCTGTTCAACAACTGCTTTAGGTCTGCATGGAGATCCTCAATACGTACTTGACAAAAGCATTTGAGCAGAAGGATGACAAAATTCCGTGGGGGAGCCTCAAGTACCTCATCGGAGAGGTGAGCAAGCGCTGGGGCTGCTCAGTGATTCCGGAGGACAAAAATGGTTTGCATGGAGCTTCCATGGCCGGTAGTCAGACTGTTGCACCCCTCAAGGCTGGTTTTGACTACTCCAGGGGTGCCGAACCTCACGCCTGGGGGCCAAATCCATCCTTCCCGCTGCTGCGTGCTAGCTCTCCATGGCCACATCCTCTCCGTTGTGCAGCCACGTTCCTTTCCTCCAACCGTCTGATTTGACGAAGTCCTCCTGCTTGTGCAACTGTTTTTTTCCTGTTCTGAAAGGGCTAGTTCTTGGCCGCAAGAGCTTTCCACTAACAGAGGCTGGTCCTTGTGGCCCCAGTCCGTTGCGCCGGCCACTGCCACAAAACCCCCGGAAGCTTCTCCGAAGCAGAATGTGGCCCTTGGGTGAAGGAGGTTATGCACCCTGGCCTGCTCTCCTGGCAGAGGTTCTACAGGGTCTTAGGCCTGGGTCTTCAGCGCGGTCTCCTCCACGCACCCTCTTCACTTTTTATCTGGAGTTGCTAGGATTTGATTCCCTGGCTTTCCGTATGTAAAGTGAGTGACTGCTGCTAAGCTGTGGCCACCGAAAGGAGAATGCCTGGGCAGTGTCTGCTCCATGAACCGAGGAATATGGGGAGCTGTGCACCTCCTCCTGTGAAGATGAACCGCATCCATTTCTAGGTGATGTACGGTGGGCGAGCCATCGACAGCTTTGATCGGCGCATCCTCAGCATCTACATGGACGAGTACCTGGGGGATTTCATCTTCGACACCTTCCAGCCCTTCCATTTCTTCCACAATGATGACGTTGACTACAGAATCCCTGAAGGGCAAACGAAGGATGAGTTTGTCGGTAAGCCAGGCCCCCTTGTATGTTGACTTTCGGATGTATTTTCCTGCCTGGTCTCCTAAAACTTTTTTCTTTCCCCGTGGTAGATCTTTGCAGCTTGTCCTATTCAGAGATTGATTTCCCTAAGGGACAGTTCTGCAGGGTCACTCTGTGCAAACCCCACTGATCATATTCTAGGTGTAAGTGGAGCCAGAGGCAAAAGGGCAGGGCCCAAAACACCAAGGGGGGGGGGGCAGCCTATTTTAGCTGAAAGCACTTGCTGCTGGTACCTAGGCCCCACCAGTGGCACGTCATCCTTTTAAAATGGGGAGGGGGGGAGCTGTTCCAAAGCTACTGAACTGTGCAATAGTTAGCAGTGGGGGAAATGAAGCAGGACCAGCAGAAAGGGGTGTGCTCTTTGGGGGAAGCCTAGAGGGCTAGATTTGCCTCCCAGGCCTGAGGTTCTGTATCCCTGTTCTAGATCCACCTCCCAGGCCCTTGCGGTTTTGCGAAGGCTCAGTTAGTCGTACCACGGTCTGCATAGCTCCCTTTAGCAGCAGCAGAAGGATGCACCATTGTTTGTAGTGGTGCCTGCCATGTGGCATGTTCTTCTCTCTGAAATACACGGGACCCTTTGCAAATTTAGGTGGTTAGTTTGGTTTTCCTCCAGGCTGATAATCTTGTACATGTATGTTCTTTGTTTTGTTTTCATCAACGGGTTCTGTATTTGTTTCAAACAAGAAGTGGCATATAAATATTAATAATAGTGAATCCAAGGTGTGAAATATGTTGGCCAGAGAGATGTAACAGCCCTTAACTTTGCCCTGCTGGAACTTTTTAAGGCTGTTCTCTTTCTGTTGAGTTTCCCCTTCAGCACTCCTGCTGTTGTTTTTCTTTAAGGCTCTGACCCATCATTGCTTACAGGTTACCCAAAATAAGGAGTACTGCCATTTTCTGTGGGGTACTGAAACTCCTCAGGTGGCAAACAGGTGGCTATAATGTTTTAGATAACAAATAAGAGATTTACAGACATGAACTTGCCTTCCGTAACTTTCTCTTTCCCTGCCTCCTTCCTCTTTCCTTTGGGTTTTCATTGGACAGAAGAGATAGAGTCTCTTCCACTTGCGAACACGCCAGAAGTGTTTGGCCTTCATCCCAATGCCGAAATTGGATACTACACGCAGGCAGCTCGGGACATGTGGTCACACCTTTTAGAGCTGCAGCCTCAAGCAGGTAAGGCCCTCGGTCGCTTCCCACCATCGCTGCAGCTCGTGCCAGGTATTTTGAGCCATTTCGATAAGGCACCAGAGGGTGGGAAGGGGTGACTAGGTCGCCAACAGGAATTCTCTCCTGTCTGCGACCCCAGCCTCCAGCCCTCCCTATCCCAGGACAGCTCGCTTGCCCTTGTCAAGGCCCAGTTGCCACTTTGGAGGGGAGCAGCTGACGTGGTTGTTTCCACACCAGCTGGGCAGGGCAGGGCAGAGTGGACGTTTGGGCACGAGAACCCCACCTCTGAGACTTTAGAGCTGGAACTCTCTGCCAAGATTCTTCAAAGAACCCCGTGTCCTCCCAGATGGTGTCTGTTTGTTCAAGGACAGGCTGGACATGCACATGGTGGGCATGTCGTGAGCGGAGCTGGGGGTCAGACTAGATGGTCTGGGGGCCCCTTCTGACTCGCTCCGTTTCTATGTTAGGAGGACATAGGATTAGATCCAAAGTGTTTTGAATATGGAGTGGTAATTCAGCTTAGAACATTCTGGGCTAATTAAAAGTAAGAGGCAGATGCATTTCAAATGTCAACTAATTTTAAAACTGTTCTTTGCCATAGCTCCCTTCTCTCAGGAATTCTGGGAAAGATGGTTTCATGAGACATCCTCCCTACGTTTACTTTATGTGTTTAGAACCTATGTCAGCTTGTAAATGCAACTGTGGTCATATATTAACGTAAGGTTTTGAGAAACTTCCAAGAACATTTATTTCCAGAACAGAGGATACTCTCATTTTAACGAACTTGATTATCAGAACAGCAAAATAATCAAAACACATTATGGGGTGATTAATCTGCAGTGATTGATTTTGTGAATATCTCCAGAGGGTTGAAATGAATTAAGGACTACATGGTTCAAATTAAGCAGTCTTGCAAATGTATCTATAAAAGCAAATGGTGGTGTTCGAAATGTCTTGTCAACAAAGAAAACTGAACTAGAGGAGCTTGTGAATAAGGTCCACTGGTAAGGTATGTCTGTGCCATACTGAACTGTCCGATCTGGACTGTTCCGATTTCTCTCAACCTAATCTATTTCAGGTGAATCTGGTACTGGGATAAGTCGTGATGAATACATTGGCCAGGTTGCTAAGGACATAGAAAATAAGATGCCCCAAATCTTTGATATCGATCAGATAAGAAAGAGCTTGGGAATTGACATTTCACCAACGACAGTAGTGCTATTACAGGAACTGGAACGCTTTAACAAGCTCATTGTTCGTATGACCAAATCTCTGGCTGAGCTGCAGAGGGTAAGCGAACCTGTTCAGGCAGGAAACCAGCCTGCCTTCTCCCCGCACTTTCTGGGCTTCTTAAAGAGATCCTTCTCGGCAACTCTTTCACCAGGCCTTGGCTGGGGAGGTTGGCATGAGCAATGAACTGGACGAGGTGGCGCGTGCACTCTTCAACGGGCACATTCCAGGCATCTGGAGAAAGCTGGCACCCGACACGCTGAAAACACTCGGCAACTGGATGATTTTTTTTAGGAACCGGTATCTCCAGTACACGTCGTGGGTGAGTGTCGGGTGGCCTTACCATTCCGTGAAACGGGGAAGGACCAAAGCCCAGTGGCAGAGCCTAAGGTTTACTTGCAGAGAGGTCCAGAGGGTAGGCAAGGTGTTTGCCTGAGATGCTGGTGAGCCGCTGCTGCTCCGAGTAGCCGTTACTGATCTAGATGGACAAAGGGCTTGAATGCAGGAAGGCAGCTCCCAGTACTCTCTTCTTTTGGGAAGCTTCATGGAAGTGAAGGCCGTTCTTTCACAGTGTTGTAAGAGACTCAGGTGATCTGGATTCTAGTCCCCGCTCAATCATGGAGGCAACTGGATGACTTTGGGCCAGTCAGACTCTTACCTACATCACAGGCTTGTTGTTGTGGGGATAAGACTGGGAGCAGCTGGAAGAGAATGATGTAAGCCACTCTGCATTCTTTAAAAATGAAAAAAAAAAGGTAGGATATAAATGTTCTGTCTCTAATGAGCTACGGGGTGTGAACAGCATAATCTAACCCTAGAGCTAGATACAGGTAAGCTCACCGATATCAGTCGGCCCACAGCTGAGCTGGATTGTGGGCATAGCAATGTAACATGGGGGAAAAAAATCAGCCTATTTTTACTTTGGTGTTCAGATTGAGGAGGGCGAACCAAGTGTCATGTGGTTGTCAGGACTGCATATCCCCGAGTCCTACCTCACCGCACTTGTTCAAGCAACCTGTAGGAAGAACGGCTGGCCTTTGGACCGCTCTACCTTATATACTCAAGTGACCAAATACAGGACTGCAGAGGAAGTCACAGAACGTCCTGGACAAGGTAGGACTTCCTAACAGCTGTCGTGCTTGAAAAACTTTCAGAGTTTCTCGGAAAGGGAACATTTCTTTCCAGCCCAACAGCTGAAGCTCTCTTGGTGTGTCACAAGTACAATTTGCAAGCTCAAGGCCACTTCTAGCCTTCCGTGGTCCATCCAAAGGTGGAATCTGTGTCATGTCTCTCTAGGAGCGAGTGTGTCTCCCGTTGTTGTTTTTCACTGCAGCACAACACTGAGCTTTTCTTAAGTGACACCTCTGAGGTCTCGAAGAGGATTTAAAACAATAGAGGACTTTCAGGCAGATTCAGTCGGGGATCTTGTCTTCCTCAGGATGCTTTGTGTCTGGCCTGTACCTGGAGGGAGCAGACTGGGATCTTGAGAGCGGCTGCCTCATCAAGAGTACACCCAAAGTGCTGGTTGTTGATTTACCCATTCTGAAGATAATCCCCATCGAGGCTCATCGGCTCAAGTTGCAGGTACAAGCTGCCAAGAGCAGATCTTAAAACCTTTATTTAAACTGCAAATCAGTTGGCATGAACTGATTTGAGGAATCTTACCTCCTACACAACAAAGGTAATCTGTCTTCATATAGTCTCGGCTGATACACAATTCCAGGTAGGATTCTATGTGGAGTTTTTTCCAAGCTACCCCCTTCTGCATTGGGACACCTTTGACATAATTCCTTCTCTTTTTGGGCCACATGTCACTATTCCTAAGTGCACTGGGACATTACACTTGGGAAACAGTTCTGAATGGTTTTCAACAGAACTCCATTTTTAAAAAATCATGAGCTCCTATTCCATTAGCTTCTGCTTCACAGAGGACAGAACAAATCCTTCACATTTGCCCAGTGGTCAGTAAAGTTTATTTTTATAATCTGTGTAGTTATATATATATATTACGGGTGGTGGCTTTTTGTGGGCACATATTAACATTTTGCCTTTATTGTTTGATTATCATTAGAATACCTTCCGGACCCCAGTGTACACAACGTCCATGCGGAGGAATGCTATGGGTGTTGGCTTAGTATTTGAAGCTGATCTTTTTACCACAAAGCATATTTCTCATTGGGTACTACAAGGTGTTTGCCTCACATTGAATGCTGATTAGTGCGCAGATACAAATGTGCCGCAGCTTTGCTGCAAACTATTGATGGGGAAAGATACAGAAAAGCTAGACAAGGCATTACGTTCTGTTATTTCTTCCACTGAAACTTTGCTTCCTGCTTCATAAGACCCATATTATAGATTTGTCTAAAACTAGTTTTTAATAACCATTATTAGAAGTCTACAAATATTTACATACTGTAATTTGTTTGAAAATAAAACTGTTAGTGAGTTTAGCCAGTAGATGAAAAGAGCTTTATTTCTTTGGAAAAAGTCTTAGAGCACCTTAACATGAACAAATTTATCATGGCATAAATTTTTAGGAATTCCGTAATAGGAAGGCCAGAAGAAAATGAAATACAGCAAGTATAGGCAGGAACAATTACATGATCCACAACAGCCATTCAGGAAACAATTGTTGCTGATACGCAGTGCCAGGTAATTTGCGCTAGCTAATTAGAAGCACTGTACTATGCAAGTTCAGACTGACACACTTCCATCGTGGCTCGCGCTTGTGGATCACTTTTCATCTCAACTTGCCTAGGATCGCACATGAAGACATACAGGTCAGAAACCTACCGACTCCTGTGACACACACTTCCAGGGCACACCATCTCATCCATTTGCCAGACCTATGGCAGACACATTGAAACTGATAGAATGTGGTTCACGAGTCCCATAGATTTCAGTACGTCTATTTGAAGAATGCTTGACTCTGGATGTAATCCATTGTTTACATCAAGTGCTAGGTGCAACCTTCTATGTTCGGACTTGACAGAATACCACCACTTGCTGTCACTTACAGGTCCAAGTGGACCTGCAAGCAAATCACTGATCAGCTCTTGCCACTTGATTCTCCTGGGCCTGTGCTTACGAGCAGCGTACTCCCCATACCTTAAAATGATTACTCATCAGCAACAGCAGACCTTATAATAAGAGGAACTGAACCCCTGCAATACATAGCAACCGAACAGCCCCTCGTATCTACTCTGAAAGCACAGTTAGAGGGTCCAGCACAGCCAGCCAGGTCATCGATCTATTCATCTCCTTATCTGACCATATGATCTATGCCATTTCCCAGCAATGTTCTGCTGCATTCTACGTAGGTCAAGCAGGTCCGTCTCTCTGCAAAATTCTCTCTCCCTCCTCACCCAAATCTGACACAGTGTTCAAAAGCTGAGGAAACATTTCAGCTTTTCACAGCTCTGTGCTGTTGACCTTAAAGCAGCCACTCCTGAGCAACGGCATTTAAAAGGTTAGATTAGAATGAGAGAAACTGCTGAGTTACAATTCATCTAGAGGTTCCGTTCAATCTCCTGTGGCTTAAATCAGGATAACGCATTTTTAAAGCACATACGCTATTTATTACGTTCCATATATACCTGGAACTTAGAACAGCACTGCATCTGTCCAATGCAGTTGGTTCAGGTCCACAGAAAAGTATACCATCATAAATCTGTTGGTTTAAGGTGCCACAAGTCTTAGTTGGCTTTGCTGCAGCAGGGTGAATATAGCTATCTATCTCAAAGTTGATCACAAAGAATATTTTTCCACTAACCATCTTAAGTGTTGATGCCGTGAAAGAGTTCCAGTCAGATCACACACTTACCATGGAAATGTAAGAAAGTTTAGGAACATTTTTAATTTCACAATGTATTCTTCCCAGGATCTTAAAAAGGATGCCTGCCATCCTTCTCGGACATGTGAATAAGTAAGTAAGGGAGCCAAACCTGTGCTGGTTAATAGGATACATTAAAATGGAATCCTGTTAAAAGTGTATGTACCAATTAACATTCTTTTAAAGAGTTTCTTTAATGTTTAGTTAAAAATCAAAAGAAAAAACCCCAACAAGAATGGAATATCACAAGAGAACCATATGTAGGAAATCCAAATGTGTTAGATTGAGGTTTTTGCTTTTTAATTACTGCTGCTGCTGCTACTATGATGCATTCATCATGATTCAGGTGTAGGAAATGGGCTGCCAGGATTCCTATTCCAGGATATTTTAATAAAGTGCTAGTAGTTAGGAATCAATGTTAAGGAGCACCGGCAGTTCTGAGGCTCCAAAATGCACACGCAGCTTTTTTCTGAATGTGATGGCCCTGCTCGCTCAGCTATGACAAAGCTACTGGACGAGAGACACTGGCAGGCTGGAAAAGCAAGTATTTTCCCATTTGTTGGCAGTGGGCTTTTTTATGCAAATGAAAATCAATTTCAAACAAGGTGTAAGAGGTGGCTTCAGGAATGCAAAAGGAAATATTTGAAATGGCAAATTCCTTATGCATGAAACTAGCCACAGAACCAAACAATTATCCAGAACTAGCAAGATCTACCAGAATGATCCAAATCTATCCTTCTGACAACCGAGGGTAAAACAAGTTCTTTTCAGGAGGCTAGCAAAAGGGCCAAGCTTGCAGTTTAAAGGCACAAGGCAAACTAGCAAAAGGTTGATTTTGCTGATAGCAGACACGGTAACTTTCCATCTTGGTCTTCTACTCTTAAGAGGATGGTTTAATGCTGTTGGGTGGGTAGTACTGGTTTATTTTGTCAGTGACTTAGACTAAATAGCACTGCGGCTTCTCTGCCTGCCCTGATTAGACATTTAAAGGGAATAATCACTTAATGAAAAGTCACGGTATCTATCCCTTCCTGATTTGTTTTTCATCTAGCAGACTATGGAGTGCAAAAAAACAGAATGTATGTTGTGCTGTGAACTTGTGACTGCATTACAGCCTTCAGTGGGGGCGGTAATTTTAGACTGAAAGGCTTTCCTCTCTCATCTAATATATGATAATCAGTTTAAAAAATGAACTTCTCACGGAATGACTGTAGGGCCACACAGACATGCATCTGCTCCTCGCAGCCCACAATCTCCTCTTTCCGCTCTCCTGCCCCCAGGAAATAGCCAATTACCATGATGGGAGAGTATTCCAAAGATAGAACAAAGGACACAAAACAAGAACAGGCAGGGTTAATAAAATAGAGTTTGTTGGGACTTTAGTAGTAGATAGAAACATAACAGAAAATAAGAATGCGTGAAGATCGGGAGCACGTGAGAGAGGCTGGGTGGGGAGGCTCGCTCAGCTGGTCTTTCCTCAACGCAGGCGTCTGCACGGCGGTCAGCGTTGCCCTGCCCTCCAAAAAGAAGGATTTGTCATGACTGTGTGAAGTGATACATACAAGGGGGGCTTGAACCATTAGCAGCCAATGCACACGAGCAGCTGCAGGACTATCGTTAGAAGGCTGAGTCCGCCATTGCTACAGATTAATGACGCAGGCCGTCGCCTGGGCATCTGCCCACAATTACACTTAGAATAAATGAAGGAGCATTGGAAGCAAGCAGTCAGGCAGACACCTGAGTTTGGCCACAGCGTTTCATTAGGTAGATATTCTGCAATATGAACACAGTCATATTGGGATTCCATTGAAGGAAGTTATTCTAGTGATGGAAAGAATTTGGCATGCATGGGGGCATTCGAAAGGGAGAAACAAAAATTTACTGCAGATGCAATTAACCCTATTTGTGATCACAGTGCGTGTAAGGGAGTCGCCTCCGATCAGTTTGGCTTAAACAGTTCTATCCGTCCCTGAATGCTTTCGGGCCACTTTGCTTCCATTCACCTGATCCACGGCTAGTGTCTCAACCTCCGGCTGAGCCTGGGGCGGAGTAACATGATGGATTCGGTGAGCCACGCCAACGTGGGCCTTGTGCTGCTTCTCCCGCGCTGGGCTGTGTGGCTCTGCAGAAGTGCGTTCGGAAGGAATAGGCGGAATGACTAAAGGCCTCTCTTTAAGAAGGTGCATCTCGGCGGTTTCCCTGGCCAGTAAAAAGGGAGTCGGATCAGGCATCGCATCGACGGGCTCCCTTAACAACAGCTTGCGGCTATCTGATCCCAGTCGGTAGGCCTCTTCAAACTCTGGATTGAGCGGGGTGGACAGACTCTTCTTCATCCTTCTCCGTGGCGTCTCTGGGAGCTTATCTTTGGGAGGGGCTGGTTTGTAGTTAGACATCACGGGGCTTCCAGAGGGAGAGCTGTCCGAAGTCCCGCTCGAACTCATAAGCTTTTTCTTTGTTGCGTGCAGCTGCGAGGTGAGGTACGCGATCGTGCCGGCCCGCTGCTCCAGTTCACTAGACAGCATGTTTAACTTATGGCTTTTCATTTTTAGCTCTTCTAAATATTTCTTTTCCCTTTCTTTGATGGTGTTCTCAAGCACCATTATCATTGCATTCTTTTGCTCCAATTCCTTTAATAGCTCATTGTTTTCGGCCTCTTTCACTTTGAGCTGGGCCTCGAGTTCTTCACATTTTCTTTTGAGTTCCTCACTTCTTGAAGTCCCACTGTCTGTAACAGCAGATAGAGAAAGTTTTACCCTAGGTGCAGTAAATCTTGACCTTTAGGCAAATGCTGTTTCTCTCAGTAAAACTAGCTGAGCTGCAAATTAAAGAGGAGCAGGGTAGTTCTTCTCTTTGCTAACTTTTCTCTCCAACTGGGGGAAAGCAAACAAAGGAGAAACACAAAACAAAAATTGCCTGTAACTAAGTATTACCCTTAACTGGACGTAATCTACAACTATACAGCCGGCTTCCTAAGAGGGCACCTATGAAAACATGACTCTGTAAATCGAGTCAACAAGTTTTTGGGAGAGTATAGGGACACTTGGCTATCACTATGACTTGAACATTAGGCAAATGGTTGGAAAGTGAATTAACAAGACTGCTAGTTTCCACCTGCCCTGGGCACAAAGCCACAATATTCTTCTCTTGTCTTTTTTAGCCTTAGCACATCTGTTTTTCCAGTTGTCAGAAGGTTGCACTGCAAGAATGTTTCAAGAACCCTTTGCAAAACACCCAGAAGGTGTGCTCCAGTATGTCCTATCCCTGTATTGTCAGTGCCTATGTATGTATGTAGTTATTTTTTAAATTAACTTTTATTCTTCCTTTTCCCCAAAAGAGGTACTCAAGCCAGTTAATGATAACCAAACACAGGCTAAAAACAAACAATTAATGAAAACGTAAGAAAAAGAGATTCATAAAAGCTCAACAGAACAATGGAAGGAAACAGGCAGCATCCACCCAACCAGAACCCCTTCCAGCAACACGTCAGCAATGTCAACCCCTCCTGCCCCCATGCTCCATGCTGAGATCCCTTACCTGTTGAGTCTGAACTTTTGAGCGTCAACTCATACGTCAGATCTGAAAAACATACAAAGGAAATGACAAAGAGCTTATCCTCATGTAGAAATTATTTATTACTTTTTATTTATTAAAACATTTTTATGCTGCCCCATTCGCCGAAGCCTCGGGGCGGCTTACAACAATATAGAGAAAACAAAATTATATAGAGAACAGTCCCTTTTGTTTAAAGCTAGTGCTTCATGGCTCATTAAGTTAGGAGACCTCAGTGCCTGACCTTTATTTTATTTAAATACTGGAATCCCACCTTTCCATAAAATGCTCACAAGAGGTTACACACATGAAAAGGCAGGCAAAACAGCCAGAAATAAACACTTCGGGCCACTTGAGCTTATTAGCCTCAGGACCTTCTAGAAAAGTCAGTGTTTAAATGTATGCAAAAAAGCGAGCAGTGAGGTAGATGGCCCTTCAGGGAGGGTGTCTCAACCTCCCTGCTGTCTCAAAAGCATCACACTGCAATGGCATTTGCCCCTCTCTCAGCCCTGCTGCAAGGATAATACACATGAAGCACATTGAAGCGTGCACTGTATTAATCTTGAGCAATCAGATTACTCAAGGGTCTTCCAGCTTTGTTGGAACGATCGAGTCTGTCTGCATACCACTTCCATGCCAAAAAAACTGCCACGAAGGACAGTTCTAAGATATGCAGGGTAAGAGCAGAAAGGCATCGAGAAGAACTAAGTGAAGCTACTTCCGGGCAAAGCAGTTGGGAAGGGAAGACAGAGGGCATGGGTGCTTGTTTTTTGTCCCGCTACCTGTACAGTGCTGCTGCAGCCGTCGAATTTCAGCATGCAGCCCCTTGAGTGTATCCGCATGCTGCCGCTGGAGAAAGAGGAGGTTTTTCTGGGCACTGTGCAGCTGGTTCTCCAGGTTCGTTGCTGCCATTCTGATATCCAGTGAATCTGCCGCGGGAGGGGGAAAGCGCAAAACATCAGTTCCCTTGAGGCCAAATCTGGTTGTTGCTGTTTTTTCCTTGCACACGGCAAGACCAGGACAACGTGAGCAGAACGAACTCTGATCAGAGCACCTCCCTCACTTGGCTAAGGGGCAACACAGCCTAGGCAGAGGATGACAGAAACCCTAGAACTGAAGAAATCGGGGTTGTCCTTCAAATTCTGCCATCGCCTCTCCCTCAGCTGCGGGTGCTGGCAGCTGTGCCAGTGCCTGTGCCTGCAGGGTAGCACTGGTGTGGCAGGGTGGAGCGGAGGAGAAAAGGACACGGCCAGGTGCTCACTTGTTTGCTCTTAGCACATTTACAGGATTAGTGCCAGACAGACTTTAGGGCACTAATCTCTTTAGGAGAATCTAAGGCACTGCAGCAGTGGGTGTGTGGCCTTCTTGGTATGAGCTGCCAGCCACCTCCTGGAGCTACATTTAGATAGATGCCATAATCCCCCCCAGACGGGAAAGCCCTTCCGGATAAGTCAAGCTCTCAGAAGCCCAAAGCAAACAAACATTCACCCTGCCAGCAAACGCTCAGGACTCTGGTACCACCAGGGTGCTTGTTTCTGGCCACCTACAGGGAGGCCAGCGCAAGGAAGTGAGCCTGCACGCAGGATACAGACAGTATTTCCAGCACTTTCTTATTCTGGAAAGTAGGACAGAGCAGACCCAGACCTCTCGGTGAAGAGAAAACGTTCAGGACTGCGGCTATCTTAATACAACACCAGAATCACAGTGCATGATGAAAAACATTCTCGGAAAAGAGAATTCCCCAGCACAAAATGGATCTAGAATCGGTAGGCTAGTTCACGCCAAGACTATTTGATGGAGGTCAGAAAACCTAACCTCAGAACAGCTTTAGCCGAAAAGAAGCCTCAGGCACTGGCTCCACCTTACGCAGGGTGCTTCTTCCTCATCTCTGTGTGAAAACGAGTGCATTCATCGTTTTGGTCTTTGCAAGACATTGTAGAGCGCTGCAAGTGTGCGCGCACATCCAATTTGTATTCTGTGATGAACAAAGTCAAGCACTGGTCCCTCTGCCTTGGCCACAGGCACACAGACTGGCAGCAGTGCTCCAGAATGCCAGGAAGAACGAAGCTTTTCTCATCACCTGTTAGCTGGGCTTTTAAACTGGGAATACCACGGACCAAGCCTCGGATTTTCTGAATACCAACAGAAACCTACTGTGGGCTATTGTCTCTTCTCTCTTACCAACTTTATTGTCCTTTAAGAACCTTCCTATTTTTTTCACCTGGCCACTTGGACCATGGAAAAGCCTCTTCAGGAGTTTGAGTTGAAGTGTGTATCGTTCTAACAAGTCCTTGGCAGTATTTGTGTTTTTTGGAAAAAACCCACCGAGGTGGAAAAGGCAAAAGAAGGCTGGAAAGGAAGCACAGAGTAGCAAAAATGTGAGTGGGAAGCTTTTGAGGATGATGCTTCCATTGAACAGCAGTGCTTCCACAAAGCCCAAAGAACCTAGATTAGAATTAGGTTTCCTTTGCAGGGAGCCAGTGGAAAGAAGAATGGGGTTCTCCAATAATTATCTCCTAGCAAACTAAAGATCCAGCCCAAAGTTTTCAAGTGGCAGGAAAAACCCTCCATTTCAGGTGTCACCCAGTGTCCAAGTCCACTTGTGGGAATCGACCAAACAGCTCAGCACAGAGTTCCAAGTAAACGAGGACTGCCACCATCATTACCAAAACCTTCCTTGGTACCCAGGCTGTTTAGTAAAGACCTGCGAAACACACAGGATTCCTGGCATCCTGTCAGACGGCTGAAGGCACCCAACTGTCAGAACTGAGCTTTGCTAAAGCATACACTAAAACCATTACGCAGTCTCCATCAAGGTATATGTTGAATGTATCAAGCCAACAACATTCAAATTTAAAAAAAAGGTGGAGAAGCACTGGACTAATTGTATGGGATGTGGCAGTGCCATCTCTGACTGGCTTTAAAGTGGCAATCTTCTTTAAAACCCACAGGCCCGGGGGGGCTGTTTACAAACAGACCGTTCTGTTCCATTAGTGGCCTCCAAGCCTTATTGTCTGCTCACACTGTCAATACTTCTCGGCTACATTATCTCCCTCCTGAGCGAGCCAGCCCTGTCTGTACAGCATCATCAGATTCCTTAAGTGCTTGCTAAATTCCCACAGAGAAGGAGACAGAGTGGAAAAGACTGTTCCTTTTCCAGGCATGGCATGACTTACCCATCCAAGCATCTTAAACCTGAGCCGTTTGCTCTCTGAAGGAACAGGCAGAGAGAGGCTTTGAAACTGAGAGGGGTGAGGGAGGAATTTGTTTCATGCAAGTCACATTATATTAATTTTGAATTCATTTGCACTTCAGTATGAAAGGCCTTAAAGTGCCACACAGTTATCTCTGCAGCATTTCTAGTACATGCTTGCACACACAAAACTTGCTGTGGTTCCACAAACATCCAGCCACATGTCCTGTTTTCACTCAGCCTTTTGTGAAGCTCACACATTTCTTTTATTTACTTATTATTGGTTGCCTTGGGGCGGTCCCCAGGACTGTTCCTCAAATTGTTCAAATAGCCAGATATGCGCACAGCCCTAAAATGTTGCCCATACCTGCTCCAGATGTTGCTGAAATGCAACTCTCATCAGCCATAGCCAGTGGTGAGGGATGACAGGAGTTACAGTCCAACATCTGGAGAGTTACACATTGCCTACCACCCCTTACTTTTCGTGTGGCCCAGCTAGCCTAGTGTTGCTATTCTGCCTGGAACAAGGTCTCCTGGTTTCCTCCTTGGCCTTGCTTTTAACTGTAGGAGTGAATGATCAGAACTTCTGCATGTAGCACATGAACTCTCTCACTGAGTTCTGGTCCTTCCCCATCCTTTCTTGGGGATTGCATTTTTTGGATAGTGATCTGCAAGAAATACACACAAGAGAATTAATAATCTTATTTTTATTTGAGATAAAACCAGTCTCTAGCACCTTTATATTCTTGGCTGAGGAGTCAAAACTAGTTTTGTTCCTGCTTATGAAATCATTCACCCACAAAAACCAGGATCAAAGCATCTCAGAAGTCGCCAGTTACTTCCAAAGCAAAACAGCAAAGGCAGTTCTTAGAAACTCAACAGCAAATAATTCCTTTTGAAGTACCAAAAAATGCAGTGTCAATTTGCCACTTTGACATCACCCATCTTCTCCTGTTAGTTAACCACAAGCTCCTCACACTACTAAAAATGCAGATGGGAGATAAAAGCATTATATTTGGGAGACCTATAACTTCAGCATCTCTGATCACCCAGCGAGTATCTTAACTGCAGGGCCTCTTGCAAACATGGGAATCTTCTTCCCTCTGGTAGACAGGAAGTTATCAGGTGCTCAGGAAATGGTTAACTGACAACCTGTACAGGTATTACTCCACAGAGGAGTATATCAAACTGTAGCATGAGACTGGCATGCAAGTCACTATTGGAAAGAGGTGCACAAAGACAAAGAGTTGTGCTCAACTGATTAAGATTTAAATGGATGGTGTTTCCTCCAGCAGCAGGAAGGGACTTTAGTTCAGCGGCAGAACACCCGCTTTGCACGCAGAAGTCCCCCAGTTTGATTCTTGACAGCATCTTCAGGGATGGCTGGCAAAGCATCCCGACTGAGATTCTGGAGAGCTGCTCCTGCTATCACCGCTGACAGTACTGAGCTAGGTGGACCAGAGATCTGACTTGGTATAAGACAACTCCTGATGTGTCCCACCTCCTTGTTCAGCATCTCTCACCGAATCAATGTTGCCACCCCTGAGCATGTTTTCCCCCTTCCTTGCTGATCAGCCTTATTCTCAAATTTTCAAGAACACAGGTAGGCAAATGTAACTGCCACTGGGAGAGAAGTGAACAGAACTTGAGGGAGTTACATACCCTGACAAGCTTAAAACCAGAAAGGCGTATACTGCATATACCCAAGGAAGTACACGGCATCTAACGTAGCTAAGAAGCATCTAAAGCATGCTGAACAAGCCCACACCAGCCTCCATATGACCAGTGTGGTTTATTTGATCCCCCGCATCAAAAGCCACTTCCATCAGCCATCCAGGACTATCTTTCAGGCAAAAATGAAATGAGCAGAAATCAGGTACCAAGCGTAAGACCATCAGTAACCATGCCAGTGACCACTGCTGTGGACGCACCATCAAGGACTTCTAAAGAAACTGAAATTCGGGGTTCACTTAGAAGATGAGATTACAGAACAGATGATACAGAGGTACAATCGTGCTAATCAGGTAATAGAGACTATGGTTTCTAAGCACACAATAAAGAATCTTAAGGTGCAATCCTATCAAAGCTTGAACAAATGAAAGGCATGGAAACCCCATCCATGATGGCTGGAAAATGCTGGAGTTGTGGGCCATTTCTCTGTCTGAGCTTGTGCTCTGAGTGCACTCTGTGATCTGTATCTGAGTGTACTTGGTATACACAAAACACTGACTGTTGTGGTGAAAAAAGAAAAAAAAACAGGTGAAGTGAGAAGTATGGAAAAATCATGGTTAATGCCTTTAGTTTTAATATTCCACTGAGCAATCCAAGAAGCTTCATGTTTGACAGACCTTTATATTTTAAAATTAAAAAGGACAAGGCTTTGAAAAATCCCAGACATCTGGTCACACCTTTGGTATGGTGCTTCCTGGAACCTCCCCAAAATAAGAAGCTTGGTTATTTTCTGAAGATTATAGAATCTCCTGAAAGTGTTTGTTTTCTATTTTAAAATCATAGGGTTTTTAAAATGAAGACACACACTCTCCCAGTCCACTTTTCCAGAAGGGCTGCACAAGTCTCCCTTCAGCTGCCCTCTGAATGTCTCAAGTCTTAATGTCACTGTGGAGTTATTTTTAGGTACTGTGACATGTGAATGATGGAGGAGCAAAGAAAGAACAATTAAGAGGAGACCATCTCTACTGCTGCCAAGAGGAACGCCCTGATGTGCTCAGAAAATGA